GAGAAATGTTAATTATGTTAATTAAGTAAGGAAAATATGTATAGTTAAAAGGTGAGCTTATAACGTAAAATCAAAATTTTAAACATTTATGTTAACATTTTATATTAAACATTTGATATAGGTTTAGTTAATAAAAATTAAAGATTTTTGTATAAATTAAAGGTATTATTCTATTCATAAGTATTATTAATATTTTGGCATTTTTAAATTTAGTAAAATCTTATTTATTTATTGTGACATTATCATTATGCCAGGCTGCAATTTTTTATCATATTTTAATTTAAAAATTAATTGAGCCCTCCAGCCTCCAAGATTCCCCTTGTCTTGATTTTCATCTATTTAACTGTTATTCTGGAGAACAGTCTGGTTTGGAATGATTTTAATTCAAAATTTCCAGAAAATTTTGAATTGAAATCACTCTAAACCAGAAGTTTCTATATAGTTAATCAGTGTCTCTAGCCACTAAGATTTCCACATCTGATTTCAATTTCCATCTAACTAACTTTGTTCTTGAGATCAATGAAAAACAGTAATATGATGCAATTATTTTCTTCTTCTCCTGTTACTTTTTTAATTTTAATAAGTCTATAATTGTATATTTTTAATTAATGTCTTCATTTTTATGACTCTGTTCTAAAATAGGTTTAAAATTAGAACAAAAATATATACTGTACTATAACATTTACACATTAATAAAAGTAATATTTCTATATTAAAGAAAGTGTTTCAGTCAAGTTGTTGGGAAGGTAGAAAAGCATTTCTTTTGGGTGAAGCCATCCTTTAAAAAATTAGGAGATTAACTGAGAAATGAGAGATTAGTGAGGAGAACAAACAGAATACAAAGAACTGAGTAACCTAGAGAGAGTTAATAGAATTAGTTAGAGATAAAGATAATTTAGTCAAGATGCCGAGTGTGATTTCAACTTATCATTTTTATTTTTATATTTGTTTGACTTCACTTCTGTGTTGTAATTTAGTAGAACTGTTACACAAATTTAATTAAGGTAGAACTGACTAATTTTGCCTTCAAATCTAAGCAAGAGAATACTTAATAACTGCAATTATTCTTTGTTTTCCTTATTTTTTAGCACAGGATATATTGTTTTTTAAGTTGATTATTCTTAATCCTAAAATTAAAAAATGCATAAAATTACTTTATTTAGTATTTAATAGAATGTACTGAAAATTGTAAAATATAAAATAAACTAATTATTAAATTATTAATAAAAAAATTTTTTATTTTATATACTTGACAAAATCTTAAAATTATTTTAATATAATAATATTTAAAAGTATTATTAATGTAGTGTAAAAATAATTCACAAACAAACACTATTTAAAAAAAATAAAATAAAATAAAATTTTGTATCCACGTTTCTGATGATGACTGATTAAGATAGTCAAAAACATTAGTTTATTTATTAAATGAGCAATTAATGCTAGACTGCAATATTTTAGTTCTTGATGCACAATGCTGTTAATTTTAGTAGTGTCTTGCCCCTGTACATCATACTTTTTCTGTTAACAAGAGTTATGGCAGTCATCTACTTGACTCTGTTCTGGAGAAAATTTTTGAATTGAAATAATGTGATTTCTGGTTCAAACTGGAAGTTTGTAAATAGTTAATTGGGGCCTCCAGCTCCCGAGCTTTTTATTTCTGGTCTCAACTTTTATCTATCTAATTCTATTCTCAAGATTAAGGAAGACAGACAGACAGACACCAATGAGAATTTATAGGTATACAATTTTAAAATGGCAGCCCAATTAATTTTTGCTGCTAGATATTCTGATTTTTTTTATTTTTTTGCATCTAGTTTTAAGAGTTGTATATTAATTTATGCATCTATGTTATTTTAAAATTTTAAATTAGTATTTTTATTTTATTTTTGGAATCAATAAATTTTGTCAGGTCATTAAAACTGTAATACAAGAAGTGTTTACTTGTTATCAATTAAGAAACTCTGCTTGTTAGTATATTAGTAACAACTATTTTTAGTATTGTATAGCACTTTCTATCATTACAGAAAAACATCTGAGATACTACTTTTTATAACAGAAAATTAATTTCGTTCAATTTATATATATATATATATATATATATGAATCTCTGAATTTTGAAGGGGAAGACGAAGGAAAAATGATTTTTCCTCTTCCTCCTCTTCCTCCCAAATTCACAGAACAAAAATCCTATTTAAAAAAAGACAATCGATTAATCTTAATTATAATTTGGAGTTTTATCATAAGAAGTTTATTTATGAAGAATTAGATAATGTTTCGGTTGTAGTAAAAATCGATAAATCATTAATAGATAAAACGACGTGTTTAAGAAGTTATATTTTCCATTAATAGCTTCATCGTTTATCTTACGATTTCGATCCGTCCTTATCAATTGGCTAAATCTATCTCATATATATATAAGAGATAAAAATACAAAATCCTATAAAACTATTTTCTTGTTTAAAAGGTTTGTAAATTCATTCTTTCGAGACGTTTTAATGCAAAAGAATGATTCTTCCAGTATACAAAAGTCGATTTTTTATTTATTTATTTTATTTATATACATATACGTCTCTAAGTAGCTTAATTCTTCTTACTAAAAAACATAGAGGGGAAGGAAAAAAAGTAGCCAGGTCGAAGCGTTGTTCAATATCTTTGTAGCTAAATCAGCAGATATTTCCCATGTACAAAACAAAAATACCGAACAGAAAATAATAAAAAAAAAATCAGATTTTTTTCTTCTTATTTTTTATATTTACTTCTGCAGCCGGAAACGGTAAAACGATATTTTTCTTTTAATATAAAATTAAAGTTTTATAATCCTTCTATTCGAAAACAATTCAGTTTCTAAGCTTAATAATTAATAAATTAAAAAGTATAGAATTTTTTTAAAAATGCCGTGTTATTAAACTACACCCGTCTAGATTTATTTTTGATTTTAATTATATAAATTCGCTTCTAACCTAATTAATTTTATTATCTAAGGAAAAAAAAAGGTATAAATCTAGATTCTAAATTTAGAATTTTATCTATTTTTTAATCTTTTAAACAAATGTTTGAGTGGTTTTTACGTTATACGATATGCACTCGATCTCCCTCCTCCCCTCTTATAAGACGGATCAATAATTCAAAATATATTTTAAACTTGGGATATTTACTATTTTTTTCTTTTTTTTCTTTTTTCCTGTGTTTTTTTCTCTTCCTTTTTTTTTTTTAAATGGTGGACAGTTAATAAAGTAAGTTACACCTCCGTCGCTCTTAAGAGAAGAAGCAGAATGGAAAAATACTCCCCCAATCAATAAGTCACAGCGTCACGTGACATTCAGTAGACCAATGAGGGGGAATACGGTTATCAAGCAAGACAGCACGTGTGGTGAGAGCAGTAAAGCAACCCAACTGTTTCTAAGAAGATAGTCAACGATTTTCACTCAGTGAATTGATCATGTACAAACCACCAATAATACATTTAATTTTCCTCCTTATCTTCACTTCAAAGCGAATATACGGTACAGGTAAGGGAATTTTAATCGTATTTATTTATTTATTTATTTTAAATTCCTTTTATAGCGGTTGTATTAAAGTGCTAGAGAAAGAAGTAATAATAATAATAATAAAAGTTTTTAAAATGAACATTTTTCCGTTATTTTTACGAAATTAATGCGTTCTGCCGATCGACGATAAACTCTTCTTAGCACCAACAGGTGGAGTAACTACTTGTAAATCAATTAACCAATAAAAATGCTTTAATTTTTAAATATTTAAATTACGTAAAATTTTTTTTTTAAAAAAATTGATCAGTTTCACCTCCTGCTTCTTTTGCTTAACAGTAGGTGGCGGGATTATGTACAATATCTTTAAGCGTTTAAATTTTTATATTTATTATTATTATTCTTTTTTAAATCAGTTTTAAAATATTAATATAATTTTATTAATGTAATTTACTTTTTTAATTGAAACTTTTTAAAAGTTTAAACATTAATAAAAAATCAATTCAGAAATAAGATTAAATCTATTATTTATTTTATTTTATTGTATTTATTGTGACTGTGGTCAGTCCAGTATGCGGCAAAATTTTTGGGAAAACTGGGCGTGTTAGAGATACTTTATCCTCTTTTTTTTCCTATCCCGAAAATTCCTATAAATCCTGCTTCTCGAAACAAATCCAAATATCGGTGAAACAAACTTATTTCTCAGTCTTTTAATAAGGTTTTTGGTGTCACCGACCTAGAGGAAGGAAGTAACTCCACCCAGTTCGGTAAATCACGTGATCCAGTTGATTCTCTTGAGAATAGTTTCTGTTCGTGAGCTATCTATCATGCATCGGAAGAGCTTCACTGTCCACCTATCCAATAGCTTTATTTACTCGCTTGGGAAATAAAAGAAGTAATCAATGTAAGGCTCCTAAAAAATATATATATATCCTTATTTAAAAAAAAAGTAAATGTCACCAAATAATAATAATAATAATAATATTGAAAAGTATTAATGTTAATAATAAAATAAAGAGAGATAGAGGGGAAAAAAATAGGGTGTGTTCTTCAGAAGTTTTTCTTTCTCTTAAAAAGGCACACCCATGCCTATAATAAGGAAGACGGTTAATTGCAAAGAGCGATTCCAAAAATTATTATTATTATTTTCTTTTTTTATTCTTAATTTTTAATTATCGTAATGCGTAATATCATTAGATTGCGTAATAATTGCGTAGATAAAATAGGAAATACGTAATAGTTGCGTAACTCAAATAAACAATAAGTAACGATATAACTACGTAAGAATTTTTGCCGATTACCTTTTTTTTTTTCAATGGATCATTTCTATATACTGTAGTCATTTTTAGAAGTGAGAGTTCTCGGAACCGATTTATCCAGCTTTTGTGAATTTCCTAAACTTTTATCCATTACGAAATTTGCTTATCCCGTTTCTTCTCGGAAATTCTAAATACCCTCATCGAAAGATCGCTTTAAAAACCATTATCAAACCCTACGAGATAAATTTCCGAAGATATCTTCGAAATTGCCACTCGAAAAACAAATTCCGACTGAAAAATAAATAAATATACATTTTTCGCTTTGTACGAACAGTGGAAAGTTTCTTTCTCCTCCTCCTTTCGCTTTTCAATTTTAAATGCTTTCTTTCCTTTTATTAATCCAGAATTATTAAGTATTTTTAGAAATAATTATTTGTAAAGGTATGATCCGAACGGATGATAATGATGATGATTTAATATTTAAACGCTGCTTGCTTTAGTCTATTGTAGTTTACTTTCCTTATCTTAGATGCAAAGTTAATTAATTGATAAATGAGAGAACATTACAGAACTAATCTGACGTTATAAGAAGTGACAGGATAATCATTCTCCGGAAATGACGTTGTCAGGTAACGTTACGTGATCCTAGCTAAAGTGCATCACGTGAAAATCTACGGATTTTGTTATAATTAAAGTCTACACTTCGTGTCCATTTTAAGAAACTATCAACAAAAATTTCAAAAAAAAATCATTACTTCTTAATAAAGGCGGAAAGCTAAATTTATTATTTTTTTTATTTTTAATAAGAAAGAAAAATGTATATAAAATATTCGATAGATTTTTTTTATATAAGCATTTATATTGATTTTAAGAAGCCAAAAAATTTGGCGGAAATTTATTCAACTGGAAAGATAGAAACCTTACAATACGAAAATTAATATTGTAAAAATTTCTTTGAAAAAATTGAATATTTCAAGATACAATATCTCTGTTTTTGTGAAGGAGGAAAAAATAAATGCATATATTCCTCCTTTTTTTTTCTTACCCCTGTATAAGATCTAGTTTAAACAAGCTTTTTATAGCAGAAAATTGCTGCTGTCTTCTCGCATCAACTTGCTAGAAAGAACGAATTGTGAATTTTGATAGAGAATACATAAGTGGATGGAGTTATTATAGTTTCAAATATGGCACACAATCAATCGACAGTTCTTATATTAATATCTACCAACCTTTTCTTTTTTTTCTGCATAAATTTAATGTATTTTATAGTTAAATCTCTGATGGTAAATTAATTAGCGTGTCGTATTTATAAATGTTGTAATGTGCAATAATTTTAAAGCAAATTTAGTATAAGGTTACAAGTACAAACCTATATCCATTCCTGTACCACCGTGGATACAGCCACGTGTACTGTAGATTAGGAAGAAAATCTTAGATATTGTGTGTACTACATGTGTATAAAGGCCTTTGCCATATTTCCGTAATCACAGGAGAGCCCAATCCCCTACTGAGTTACGCTACTGAATGCAACTTAGAAATTGGTCGACCAATTTCTATCTAACTTTACAAATTTGTTGTAAATTTATTATTATATACAGGATGGTCCCAAAGTCAGTTAAACTATTGTAAAGATTATATGCCAGTTAATTTTCGAAAAGTGTAGACCTACGAATTCCCGCTGGAGTCCGTCTGAAGCTGTCTGTCTGTCCTCCTCTAATCTCGAGAACGGAGCTCGATAGATAAAACCAAGACCATATATGGAACTTTTATGGGCAGTAGGGCCGGATGACGTATGTATGAACTTCTGATCCGGATCGAAAGTCACGTTATTTCAATCCAAAAAACTTTCTCCCGAACGAAGATTATCGACACGACTCCATTGTTAACAGGAAAAATATAATGTACAGGGGCAAGAAGACACTTCTAAAATTGAAAGCATTGTGACGAAAAATTATAGCTAGGCATTGTGAACAGAAACAACGTTCTAAACTCAATTTGCAATTGATATTCACAAGTGTACCCGAGCACACGAAACAAAACACGATTAACTGACTTTATTAATGTACCCTTCTATGTTAACGCCTTTATTTCGATATTTATCTGCAGATAAATTTTTATCCGTAAGGGTGGATAGGTTTAAATGCTTCTTGGCTTGCAGAACCAAATCAGCAGACCTTTTTTTTTAATACCGTTCATGTAACTTTCATGCGAAATATCAAAACACATAGGACACTTGATAATGTCGTAAGCACGCTATCAATATATACAATACATTTATGTGGATAGCACTTGAGAAATAACGTTCAATGTAATAGCGATGCATTATCACATCCCGTATATGAGACGACGAAGAAAAGAAAGATAATTAGCCTCAGTTCTTCAAAGAAATTCTGTCGGTAATAGAACTGATAAGAGGACACTAACTCCCAATGGTGTCAATCTGATGAGAAAGTTATCTAAAAGTTTTGTGTACCTATTTTAATGAAGTCTCCGGAGGGTATGAGAAGAATGCGTTATCTCCATATTCATCCCTCAGGGTAACGATTGACAATTCTCTAGATTATCATTCGGTAACAAGCATATAAACTTATACAAATCATTAACTCATACATTACTTATTTGAGGTCTCCTTCTGAATATACTACTACATTTCCTCGCTATTCCTTCTCTTAAAAATCTTATAGCTATCCCGTTTTAATGAGCACCCCGAAAACTAGTGATTGTGTCACACGATCCAATACATTTTTTTTTCTTTCGTGTTTTATTCTTCTGGAAAACATTAATCCTATTATTCTTGACAGCCAAGCGATTATCTACTTATAGACAATTTCATTCGCTGCAGGCTTCTTTAATTTCGATCATTTTCGTGATGTAAAACGCGAGTATCTAGGATACTACGTTTCTAGAGAAGTAAATTATTCTAGAATCGCAAATGAAATTGAAATCTAACTGTAACTAGTTTATTTCTAAGTGTAATTGATCGAGTACACAAAACAGTAATTCATGTTTTATGTGATCAATATTTCATCAGCTGAGACGTTTAGTTAATTTATCAATTTTAACGAAGTATCAAAGCGAAACTAAGTACTTTAGCGAGCTTCTATATTTAAAAAAAACTTACAGAAAGTCCAGTAATAGAAGAGGATATGGAGCATCAACTTGTTGATCCGGAAGGATGCCCACGTGATCGTGAAGAAGCAGCATCAACTGGAAGACAATGTCTCCGAAAGTGTCAGTCAGACGGTGAATGTATTAGTTCGAGGAAGCGTTGTTTATGTGATGGATTATGTGGATGGAGCTGCGTACGACCCGGTGAGTTCAGATAATTTCATAAATTTTTAAATCTAATATGTATATATATATTTTTTTCTTATAGATAATTTGTTAGAGTTGTTTCTGTATTATAAGTACCATATATTACATCTCATCACGAATGTATCGTGGTTAGAAATATGTATAATTTATGAATAACATGGGTGTGTTCGTAAATTCTTTCCTTCCGTGCTGTAATTCTTTAAATAATCCTGGTAGTAATCATTCATTCTCAAGTAGACTCTACTAATCAATTATTTAAAAGGAAAATAAAGAAAAAAAAATAAAGTTATCACGCATACAACATATCCAGTTTGGTTAGACTTTTTTTTCCTCCTCTTTTTTTTTCTTAAGATTTACATTGCGATGAATTAACTGCTATCGAAAATGGACAGTTTAAAGTAACAGGAGATCACTTTGGTGCCAGAGTTCATTACACGTGTGACGAAGCATTTTGGATGTCTGGTTCGAAAGAACGTGTGTGTCAAGGTGATGGCTCTTGGAGCGACCGTTCTCCAGAATGCAGAAGGAAAGGTATTTAATATTTAAAATAAAAAGAAAAAAAAAAGAATATTTGNTTTAATTAATAATACATTCTCGCTTGTATAATTTTTACAGCGACGAACAACCAAATCTTACAAGTTAATTTTTAATTATAAGCTAATTCGTTAAGAAAAATTATTAGACGAAGAGGATTACATTAAGTGCCCTTCATAAATTTCTAAAGGTTACTTACAATAAATAAGATTGTTAGAGGCTGGGAGTAGGATCAGTTGAGTTGTGTTACTTCTAAATATCAGCTTTAAAAGAGAAAAAAAAATTAAATTAAATAAATTATCTCTCCTATTTTCTCTTCGCCAGTTTAAAATCTACGATTTCCTTGGCTAAATATGTGAAAGATTTCGATCTTTCAACGATAATTCCCGAACTTGCTGACAGATTTACGACCGTAGGCATAAGCATTTTTCAATGGAAAAATACTCCTAAAAATCCTATCGCGAGAAGCGTGTAAAATTTTTATTATCAATTCAGATTAAATGCATTCTTCCTTTTCTTTCTTTCTTGGTCGTCCGTCTGTCCGTTTGTTAATCTCGAATAACTCCCGTGCCTTTCGTCGAAAAATTTTGAAATTTTGCGGGGTGGTTCGTGTATTAGAGGGTTTGATTTCGTTAAATTTTGATGATTAAAGGTCAAGGTGGTGAGAAGATAGAGAGGGCAAAAATTATATGCTCTCCACCTCAAATTAGTAGTGTCTTGCTCATGTACATCATACTCTTCCTGATAACAAGAGTCTGTGTAACTCCATTCTGGAGAAAATTTTTGAATTGAATTCACGTGACTTCCGATTTAGCCCGGAAGTTCCTATATACGTAATCGAGGTTTTCTCTTCTAACACCGTTCTCGAGATTAAGGAAGGATAGACAAATGGACGGTCTACAATTTTTTTTTAAAATTGCAGCACAATTAAAGTTTACTCGTTAAAGTTTCTATACATTTTCTTTTTAATTAAGTGTCGTTTAAGGTGAATTATAATGTAATAAATATCAAAGCTCCTTCACTGGAACGTTATAAAAGACTTAAACGATAAAAAAAATATAATAATAATAACGACAATAAATATTACAAGAGATTTTACTCGGCCAGCCTGATAAATAATCGTAAAATTTACCTTATATTCGGTCGTAAACAGTCCTAATAATCGAAACGTCCGTTCCAAGATAGTAATTTCAATAATACTTCATAGTAAATGTAGCGGAAAGTGAGAAGTTTACTTTCCTGAGCAACAAATTTTGCAAATTATCATCATTATTCATACGTCCATTAATACGAAATAGTGCAGTTTGGTTTAATTTACCGATAATGGCAGCATTCCCGATAAACGTATATTAAGGATAGCATATTCTAAAAGCGCATACTGTATATACGTGCGATGATTTTCATAGTTAATAAAGCCATTTATATTTACTTATATTCGATTAATATAAAATTACGTACGGTTTTAAAAGGATAATTTAAGTATTTTTCCACGTTATCCTCCGCTTTAAAATATAATAAAATGATCTCGTTCGACAACATTACAATTTTAAGAATAGATTTTTATATTTAATGTAATTTTATATTTACTCACTCGTTTTGAAATATTACAATATATATATATATATAATTCGATTAAATGATGTAAATAAATTCCACAAAAATAACAATTTTCGGTTGAAATTATATACGTATATTTGATAGATGACCCGAGGTAATTATCGAATAAGAAAACATAGAACCAAATGAGATAAGTATTATTTAAATTTTAACATATTAAAGTTATTAATTATCTTTTAAATACGATGATAAATTTTACTGAGGTGTCGTAAAATGTACTTTTCCTTAATTCTGTGTTCTCCTTCGGATAAAGTGTCTTCAGGCAAAGTGGCATTTACAGGGGAAGAGTTTTTGAAGAATGTTATTTTTAATAAGAAATTCTTTTTAAAGTTTACAAAAATAAATAAAATAAAATAATAATTTTATTAAATATCACGTTACTTTACAGCATCCTGTCACTTTCCTCCATAAAAAAATAATAATAATATTTTTTAAAGAACTACTTTTAACTTTCTTCCTGTAATTTTTAATCTGGAGATTAGAAAATGTTCTAAAGTGATTAAAAATTAAAAATTAATCTGAAAATTACGGTAATTATAGTAATTAAACATTGCTTTAATGTACCTTTTTTTTACAAATTTTAATTAATACGTGTTAAGATTATTTTAAAATCCCCGTTTTAATTATGAAAAACATTAAGATGATATTTAACTTTTCCATATACTTTTTTCCTCTAAACTTATACATAAATATAATTAATAATGTTGATATTTATTGAAAAGTCTTTCTAATAGTTTATTTAATATTTATAATTAAAGTTTATAAGAAATCTTTTATGAGAAATTTCGTAAAGCTGTATTTTGATGTAAGTATTCTGTTTAATTTTAAAATGATTAATATGTTTATTTTTCATATTTAATTTTCTTGTTAATTTACAGAAATATTAAAACTATATTTATCTAAATACATTAACAGGATGGACATAAAATTTAAAAGGTAATATTGGGATGACAAATATTTTATTCTTACTCTTCATCTTCATCTTTTAGAAAAATAAATCTCTTTAATTTATCTTTACATTTTCTTCAACCCGGTATTAAATAAATATTTATATTTTATTAAAATTTTCAAAGATAATCCCCAGAACTTTACTGATAAATTCTATCTTTTTGAAAGGATTGACATTTATAAATCATGTGAATTAATTAATGTAGAGATAAATGTCTTAGTTTCCTAATATCCTTAAGGATAGTTTCAGGACCTTTATAAATAACTAATTTTTTTCCTTCATTTCTATAATTTTCTGAGTGAAATTTAACTCTAAATTACATTAATAATGAAGAGGAATTGTCTGGAATTTATTAATTTGAAATCCTTTACAAATAACAGATATACATTTTTAAAGGCTTGTGAATTAATTTAATAAAATATTTAAATGTTAAGGTATAATAATTTCTAAATAAACATCTCAATTCTCTTCTTATTTATCAGTTTTTCATACTAGATTAATAACTAATTATTATTAAAAAGATTTAAGGATTATCATCATTAGATAAGATATTTTACATAACTTTATTATAAATATATTTAAAAAATTAGTTTATCTTAAAATTTCTCTTAAAAAGACTCAAGTTATGGCATTAAATAATAATAAAATATATAATTTTTAATATAAATATAAAAGAAAAACAAAAATACCATTCGCCTGTTTGTAAATATAAAAATTGTGTATATAAATAGAAACAATAATATATATATATAATAAATCCAGTAAATCTATTCAAAAATAGAAAAATACACATTTGAAAAACATTTTTATATTGGTTCACGTTCAATTTATATATATATATATATATA